GGGGGGGGGGGGGGGGGGTAGGTCGTAAGGTAAGGTATAAAAAGTGCGTAGGAAGGTGTAGTATAAGTACATTGTTAAATGGGTGGGTAGGTAGATAGGTCGGCAAGTGTGCAGGTAGGTGTGTAGATACAGTAGTAGGTACTTTGGTAGGTGGGTTGGTTGGTAAACGTATTCAGGTAGATAGGTAGCTAAGTAGATAGGTAAGCAGGTAGGTGTGTAGATAGTAGATGTAGTGGGTGCATTGGTGGGTGGGTGTGTAAGTAAATAGGTCGGTAAGTGTGGAGGTAGGTGTGTAGTAGGTACATTGGTAGGTGGATGGGTAGGTAAACAGGTCAGTAGGTATCCAGGTAGATAGGTAGCCAAGCATGTAGGTAGGCAGGTGTGGGTGTGTGTAGATTAGATAGTAAGTGTAGCAGGTACATCGGTAGGTGGTAGCTGGGTAAATAAGTTGGTAAGTATGCAGGTAGCTAGGTAAGCAGGTTTTGGTAGATAGGTAAGTAGGTGAGAAGGCAAGTATTAGGTATATGCAGGCAGATACGTGGATAGGTAAGTACAAAGGGGCGTAGGTAATCTTTTGCAAAGTACATACAGGTTTTCTAATATATACTTCGTATTTTTATATGTATTTAGGTTATCAAATGTATGAACAAAGACAGTCATGTTGTATTGTGCGGTCAAATCTCGCAGTACGACAAGGACTTACCCTACCCCCCACCGATACCTGATGAAATCACACAGCTACTCAAGCAAAATAACATTACCCGAGAGCGATATACGGTGTTAAATTATCCTGAAAAATTCCAAGAATCGTTAGTACAACTTGAAGCTTGGTTTAAGGAAGGAAAATTGAAAAATCGTGAAACGTTTGAGATGGGGCTTGAGAATGCCGGGAAAGCGTTTGTATCAATGATGACAGGCAAAAATATTGGCAAACAAATTATACAAGTTGATGTCTAATGGTTAGCCTGCAAACAGGCTCTCCAGGGAGGGCAAACCTGGATTCTATGAAAATAACTTAAAAATAGTTTTGTGTTCTGACAAAGATTGTCCCAATCTATATTGTCAAAGATTGTTAATTCTAGAAATATGTGATTTTATGCAAAAGCTAATTGTGTTATAGTATATTTTCACAAATTATTATGTTAAAATGCATTTGGGCTAGTTACAGGTGATTGATTAATGAGAATAAAATCTCTCAAATGCTCTTGAGAAACTTCAGCTGAATAACTGTGTTACAAAGCTAAAACAATTTTACAACTCTGAAAGCAAAAAAAAATTAAGCTTACTAATAAGATTTACGGCAACAAAAGGGTGACAAGCTAAATTAATATTGGCCCCTCCAGTATTACACAAAGTGTTCGCCACCCTGTTTGAAAGTGTGACGCTAGCTAAGTACGGTCTCTTTGTGACCGATCCTAACTTTTTCTTGCCTTCAGCGCCCCAGAAAAGTTTACTCCGACGCTGATAAAATGCAGGGATAATAGGGTGTTATTTATATTCATTATCTATTGTTAAATATTTTACATGATTATATCACGATATTAAAAAATCTAAGATCTACATTAAATTGACACGATACTGCAAAAGTCGTCAAATACGGGGTTAGCCTTTACTTTTGGGCCTATTTTGGCCACCTTTTCAAAAACCTTAAGGTAATTCCGCAGTTTTGCATTGCGCACTTTTACTGCGCACATCTTATAACTT